GAGTGGTTGGTGTATTGCATAGTTTTATCCATTGGATTTCACTCAAAACACACCAAATGACTCCTCCCACCATATTATGATGTTCCCCAAGTTTTGGACTCAATCCGATATCGATTGGTCCGTGAAATTGGACGATTCAGGTTCGTACGAAGTTCGCTGAAATGGAGTGGTTGGTGTATTGCATAGTTTTATCCATTGGATTTCACTCAAAACACACCAAAATGACTCCTCCCACCATATTATGATGTTCCCCAAGTTTTGGACTCAATCCGATATCGATTGGTCCGTGAAATTGGACGATTCAGGTTCGTACGAAGTTCGTTCTGAAATGGAGTGGTTGGTGTATTGCATAGTTTTATCCATTGGATTTCACTCAAAACACACCAAATGACTCCTCCCACCATATTATGATGTTCCCCAAGTTTTGGACTCAATCCGATATCGATTGGTCCGTGAAATTGGACGATTCAGGTTCGTACGAAGTTCGTTCTGAAATGGAGTGGTTGGTGTATTGCATAGTTTTATCCATTGGATTTCACTCAAAACACACCAAATGACTCCTCCCACCATATTATGATGTTCCCCAAGTTTTGGACTCAATCCGATATCGATTGGTCCGTGAAATTGGACGATTCAGGTTCGTACGAAGTTCGTTCTGAAATGGAGTGGTTGGTGTATTGCATAGTTTTATCCATTGGATTTCACTCAAAACACACCAAATGACTCCTCCCACCATATTATGATGTTCCCCAAGTTTTGGACTCAATCCGATATCGATTGGTCCGTGAAATTGGACGATTCAGGTTCGTACGATGTTCGTTCTGAAATGGAGTGGTTGGTGTATTGCATAGTTTTATCCATTGGATTTCACTCAAAACACACCAAATGACTCCTCCCACCATATTATGATGTTCCCCAAGTTTTGGACTCAATCCGATATCGATTGGTCCGTGAAATTGGACGATTCAGGTTCGTACGAAGTTCGTTCTGAAATGGAGTGGTTGGTGTATTGCATAGTTTTATCCATTGGATTTCACTCAAAACACACCAAATGACTCCTCCCACCATATTATGATGTTCCCCAAGTTTTGGACTCAATCCGATATCGATTGGTCCTGAAATTGGACAATTCAGGTTCGTACGATGTTCGTTCTGAAATGGAGTGGTTGGTGTATTGCATAGTTTTATCCATTGGATTTCACTCAAAACACACCAAATGACTCCTCCCACCATATTATGATGTTCCCCAAGTTTTGGACTCAATCCGATATCGATTGGTCCCTGAAATTGGACGATTCAGGTTCGTACGAAGTTCGTTCTGAAATGGAGTGGTTGGTGTATTGCAAGTTTTATCCATTGGATTTCACTCAAAACACACCAAATGACTCCTCCCACCATATTATGATGTTCCCCAAGTTTTGGACTCAATCCGATATCGATTGGTCCGTGAAATTGGACAATTCAGGTTCGTACGAAGTTCGTTCTGAAATGGAGTGGTTGGTGTATTGCATAGTTTTATCCATTGGATTTCACTCAAAACACACCAAATGACTCCTCCCACCATATTATGATGTTCCCCAAGTTTTGGACTCAATCCGATATCGATTGGTCCGTGAAATTGGACGATTCAGGTTCGTACGAAGTTCGTTCTGAAATGGAGTGGTTGGTGTATTGCATAGTTTTATCCATTGGATTTCACTCAAAACACACCAAATGACTCCTCCCACCATATTATGATGTTCCCCAAGTTTTGGACTCAATCCGATATCGATTGGTCCGTGAAATTGGACTATTCAGGTTCGTACGAAGTTCGTTCTGAAATGGAGTGGTTGGTGTATTGCATAGTTTTATCCATTGGATTTCACTCAAAACACACCAAATGACTCCTCCCACCATATTATGATGTTCCCCAAGTTTTGGACTCAATCCGATATCGATTGGTCCGCGAAATTGGACGATTCAGGTTCGTACGAAGTTCGTTCTGAAATGGAGTGGTTGGTGTATTGCATAGTTTTATCCATTGGATTTCACTCAAAACACACCAAATGACTCCTCCCACCATATTATGATGTTCCCCAAGTTTTGGACTCAATCCGATATCGATTGGTCCGGAAATTGGACGATTCAGGTTCGTAGAAGTTCGTTCTGAAATGGAGTGGTTGGTGTATTGCATAGTTTTAGCATTGGATTTCACTCAAAACACACCAAATGACTCCTCCCACCATATTATGATGTTCCCCAAGTTTGGACTCAATCCAATATCATTTGGACTATTCGAATTCGTACGAAGTTCGTTATGTAATAGAATGGTTGGTGTATTGCATAGTTTTAGCGATTGGATTTCACTCAAAACAACCAAATGACTCCTCTCACCATATTATTATGCTCCCCAAGTTTTGGCTTAATCCGATATCAAATGGTCCAAGAATTGGACAGTTCAAGTGACAGGACTCGACCCAAATTCCACTTTGAAATTCAAGCCGAACCCTGTGAGTGTCCGACACCTGGCTAATCCCGGGCACAAATACCAAACTGCCCTTCTAACTAAAAATCCACTTTTAAAATAAGATTATCTTCTGCCGAAAATTCAGCAGAGTTTCCCCTGTTATTTACTCAGTTCCCAAAATTTCCACCTGTAATAAAACATTTGTATAACTCAATCGTTCAGCTTGCATTCAATTATATCCAAACAAATTAAGTATCATATATTCTGGTCTCATGTCACAATAATTCAAATAAATCAATCTGCTACTAAAATTCATCTCAACTTTCAGAACAACAATAATGCATTGGTAATCTCAAACATTCTAACTCGTGGCTGTACCTTGTAATTATAGGCTGCCTACGTACCCTTATTGAGGGATCAAGCCACACGTAGTTCTTTAATGCAAACGACTCTAGTTCTCAAATTTCATCTCAGCTTTCTGTTTCAAGTTTCCTGGCATTTCTCACATGGCAATATAATCAAACGAAGAAATAAAAGCATTTATATCAAGTAACCACGCTTGGAAAGCCATGACCATCAATTCCTCGTGACACCAATGGTGACACGTCCTGACCTGTAATTCTCGCTGGACTCAGGAGACATCTGGTCAACCTAGTCCGCAATCCACGCTCCTACGGTCTGGATATATCTAAGACTCGTGGGGCAAAATATGCTAGAAAACTTAAGCTATTTAATATTATAAAAACATAATGCAAGATAAAGATAAATAAACATAAAATAAATAAGTTAAAGATTTATAAGCTCCGAACACCCTTGTATCGAACTCACGTAAAGTTCATAATTAAATATATATATTTATATATATCAATAACTTGATTAGAATCTATATATATTTCCATCTATTGCTTGTAAAACAAATGTGACGCTTAAGAAAATAATGGTAACTGTATAAAATCCTCAATTAGTTTAAAAGCATCTCAGAACTTAAATTCTCTCCACCAAGGCGTACCCCCAGTTTTGATCCATCAATTCCTTTTATACCGTCAATTCCAATAATAATCTGTCAATTCCAATGTTAGTCCGTCAATTCCATCCTCGCAGGCCTCGGAAACACAAAGTTAACCGAGCCGCATTCCTCGCAGGTCTCAGAGATAACACTTGAATCTGAGCCGCAATCCTCGCAGATCCCGGAGACACCAAGTCCATCCGAGCCACATTCCTCGCAGGTCTCAGAGATAACACTTCAATATGAGACGCAATACTTGCACCACACGGTTCAGGCGTCCCCGAAACTCGTGGGGCATTATCATAAATAACAAACTGTCTCAAGGCAACTGGGGGGTACCCTCGTGGTGAGTTTGAAAACCATAACCCGTCATTTATATAAACTTTCAATAAATTGGTTCTCAACTAAACTTAAAATATATACATATGTATACCAAAATCTGATAAAAACCAAAAGCTATAAACTCTTCCTTTTCAACCACTGTATATATGTATCAGATACTTGGCTAGTTTGTTAACCATATCGGTCTCTGATTAGCATGTCATTCCAATATTATATCAACAGGTGATAAATAAACAGATAATTAAATACTTATACCGAAATCACATAAAATCATGAAATTAAAACCATAACTAAACCAAATGAACACTCGCATGCACATGAGCTTTCTAAAAGCTCGAACATATCCTTTGGAGCTCATCCTCATTATTTAATCCAAAGTCCTGGACTTGGGCTACTAGAAGTGCGTGCATTGTATATGAAGTCATTCTCAAGCCTATGTAAGCCTTTTCAATGATTAGAACGGTCTAGAAGTGCCTCGGGACTCAAAAACCGATAAGTCCCAAAAGTCAACTTGTGACCCCCATGGGGTCCACAACCTCAAAATTCTGATCCGAGAGTTCCTAAGGTTCTAACATGCCTATGACATATGTCTCGAGGGTCTGGTCTCGATCGGACGGTCAGACTACTCACGATCGTACGATTACTATAAATCTAGCCCTAGGGTTGGCTTTTTCGGAGTATCCGATACTCCGATTCACGATCCAATGAATCCTACATAATCCTGGAATTACCTATATCAACATATAATAAATTGACTGCGATCCAACGGTTCAAACGTATCGAACTCGGAAATTGCACAATATGCGAGATCCGTTTGGGGTTCAAACGTTGCCCGAATTGAGATATGCGAATTTCTACGTGCTCGTGGCAAACATAAGGATAATTTTAGAACATAATGTCGGACCACCACCCTGCCCACGCGCCGCCACACGTGCCGGCAGCGCGTGGGTGTCTAGATAAGTTTCGGTGGCCGGAAAACTTCAAGTTTGAAGGCCAAGCTTCCTACCCTAGGTAAAACACCCTATTTGGAACCACTTTTGTTCTTGGACCTACCCCAAAAAGTGGCCAGAAGTGGCCGGAATCGCGATCCCAAAACCGGCTGAAACCCAATTTAAAAATCGAACTACCTAGGCTCCCAATTGATAAATTCCTACCCAACCACCAGCTAGATCATGAAAAATAGGTGAGAAAGCATACCTCACTCGCATGAAACGGTGGCCGGAGGAGGGAGAACGAGCTGTTGAAAGTTTACGAAAAAACTATCCAAAACTGCCTGTTTCTTGGCTGTTTCCGACTACTACGACGGGGGATCGAGGAGGCCAAGGGCTGAGACTGGAAGAGGGAAGTGTGCTGGTTCCAACTGGACCAGTCTTGCTTGAATTAGTGGTCGGAGTTGAGAGAAATCACCTATTGAAGTCGGCTGCTCGAGCTCCCCAGAATGCAGAAATTTTGGGTTCAAAAAACTGAACTTCGAAATATTTATGGTTATGCCACTGAATTTCTTTTGATCGCCATTTCTTCATTACAACTCCGATTCGAGTCCACTAGATGTCTACGGACTCGTTTCGACATGCTCTACGCAACACTCCAATTGAAATTTCTAAATTCCTTTCCGAGCTGAAATTGACCTTTTGCCCCTTTTTAATATTAAATAATATTTTAATTTCTCCAAAACCTTAATTAATTCAAATCATTTTATTTTGTTCTTTATTTCACTTTATTCCTCATTTAAATTTATTCTCTTAATTTAGTTATTTTAATACACTTTCGGACCGGGATGTAACAAATCCATCAAAGTCTCCCCGGTTAACAAGTCAACTGGTAAACATATTAAATATTATTGCGTAACATTGTCTTTTGTTTGAATACTTTAATAATTAAATATTAATTACGATCGGTTGTTACATCAACTACGTACGAAGTTCATTCCGTAATGGAGTGGTTGGTATTGTATAGTTTGAGTGATTGGATTTCACTCAAAACACACCAAATGACTCCTCCCACAATATTATGATGTTCCCCAAGTTTTGGACTCAATCCGATATCGATTGGTCCATGAAATTGGACGTTCAGGTTTCGTACGAATTTCGTTCTGAAATGGAGTGGTTGGTGTATTGCATAGTTTTATCCATTGGATTTCACTCAAAACACACCAAATGACTCCTCCCACCATATTATGATGTTCCCCAAGTTTGGGACTCAATCCGATATCGATTGGTCCATGAAATTGGACGATTCAGGTTCGTACGAAGTTCGTTCTGAAATGGAGTGGTTGGTGTATTGCATAGTTTTAGCCATTGGATTTCACTCAAAACACCCCAAATGACTCCTCCCACCATATTATGATGTTACCCAAGTTTTGGACTCAATCCGATATCGATTGGTCCACGAAATTGGACAATTCAGGTTCGTACGAAGTTCGTTCTGAAATGGAGTGGTTGGTGTATTGCATAGTTTTAGACATTGGATTTCACTCAAAACACACCAAATGACTCCTCCCACCATATTATGATGTTCCCCAAGTTTTGGACTCAATCCGATATCGATTGGTCCGTGAAATTGGACAATTCAGGTTCGTACGAAGTTCGTTCTGAAATGGAGTGGTTGGTGTATTGCATAGGTTTAGCCATTGGATTTCACTCAAAACACACCAAATGACTCCTCCCACAATATTATGGTGTTCCCCAAGTTTTGGACTCAATCCGATATCGATTGGTCCATGAAATTGGACAATTCAGGTTCGTACGAAGTTCGTTCTGAAATGGAGTGGTTGGTGTATTGCAAAGTTTTATCCATTGGATTTCACTCAAAACACACCAAATGACTCCTCCCACCATATTATGATGTTCCCCAAGTTTTGGACTCAATCTGATATCGATTGGAACAATTGAAATTAGGATTCAGGTTCGTATCGTACGTCGAAGTTCGTTGGTTGGTGTATTGCATAGTTTTAGCAATTGGATTTCACTCAAAACACACCAAATGACTCCTCCCACCATATTATGATGTTCCCCAAGTTTTGGACTCAATCCGATATCGATTGGTCCGTGAAATTGGACGATTCAGGTTCGTACGAAGTTCGTTCTGAAATGGAGTGGTTGGTGTATTGCATAGTTTTATCCATTGGATTTCACTCAAAACACACCAAATGACTCCTCCCACCATATTATGATGTTCCCCATGTTTTGGACTCAATCCGATATCGATTGGTCCGTGAAATTGGACGATTCAGGTTCGTACGAAGTTCGTTCTGAAATGGAGTGGTTGGTGTATTGCATAGTTTTATCCATTGGATTTCACTCAAAACACACCAAATGACTCCTCCCACCATATTATGATGTTCCCCAAGTTTTGGACTCAATCCGATATCGATTGGTCCATGAAATTGGACGATTCAGGTTCGTACGAAGTTCGTTCTGAAATGGAGTGGTTGGTGTATTGCATAGTTTTATCCATTGGATTTCACTCAAAACACACCAAATGACTCCTCCCACCATATTATGATGTTCCCCATGTTTTGGACTCAATCCGATATCGATTGGTCCATGAAATTGGACAATTCAGGTTCGTACGAAGTTCGTTCTGAAATGGAGTGGTTGGTGTATTGCATAGTTTTAGACATTGGATTTCACTCAAACCCACCAAATGACTCCTCCCACCATATTATGATGTTCCCCAAGTTTTGGACTCAATCCGATATCGATTGGTCCATGAAATTGGACAATTCAGGTTCGTACGAAGTTCGTTCTGAAATGGAGTGGTTGGTGTATTGCATAGTTTTAGCCATTGGATTTCACTCAAAACCAACCAAATGACTCCTCCCACCATATTATGTTGTTCCCCAAGTTTTGGACTCAATCCGATATCGATTGGTCCAAGAAATTGGAGAATTCAGGTTCGTACGAAGTTCGTTCTGAAATGGAGTGGTTGGTGTATTGCATAGTTTTAGCCATTGGATTTCACTCAAAACCAACCAAATGACTCCTCCCACCATATTATGTTGTTCCCCAAGTTTTGGACTCAATCCGATATCGATTGGTCCATGAAATTGGACACAATTCAGGTTCGTACGAAGTTCGTTCTGAAATGGAGTGGTTGGTGTATTGCACAGTTTTAGCCATTGGATTTCACTCAAAACCAACCAAATGACTCCTCCCACCATATTATGTTGTTCCCCAAGTTTTGGACTCAATCCGATATCGATTGGTCTATGAAATTGGACTATTCAGGTTCGTAGGAAGTTCGTTCTGAAATGGAGTGGTTGGTGTATTGCATAGTTTTAGCCATTGGATTTCACTCAAAACCACCAAATGACTCCTCCCACCATATTATGATGTTCCCCAAGTTTTGGACTCAATCCGATATCGATTGGTCCATGAAATTGGACAATTCAGGTTCGTACGAAGTTCGTTCTGAAATGGAGTGGTTGGTGTATTGCATAGTTTTAGCCATTGGATTTCACTCAAAACACACCAAATGACTCCTCCCACCATATTATGATGTTCCCCAAGTTTTGGACTCAATCCGATATCGATTGGTCCGTGAAATTGGACGATTTCAGGTTCGTACGATGTTCGTTCTGAAATGGAGTGGTTGGTGTATTGCATAGTTTTAGCCATTGGATTTCACTCAAAACACACCAAATGACTCCTCCCACCATATTATGATGTTCCCCAAGTTTTGGACTCAATCCGATATCGATTGGTCCATGAAATTGGACAATTCAGGTTCGTACGAAGTTCGTTCTGAAATGGAGTGGTTGGTGTATTGCATAGTTTTATCCATTTGATTTCACTCAAAACACACCAAATGACTCCTCCCACCATATTATGATGTTCCCCAAGTTTTGGACTCAATCCGATATCGATTGGTCCGTGAAATTGGACAATTCAGGTTCGTACGAAGTTCGTTCTGAAATGGAGTGGTTGGTGTATTGCATAGTTTTATCCATTGGATTTCACTCAAAACACACCAAATGACTCCTCCCACCATATTATGATGTTCCCCAAGTTTTGGACTCAATCCGATATCGATTGGTCCTAAAAATTGGACAATTCAGTTTCGTACGAAGTTCGTCTGAAATGGAGTGGTTGGTGTATTGCATAGTTTTATCCATTGGATTTCACTCAAAACACACCAAATGACTCCTCCCACCATATTATGATGTTCCCCAAGTTTTGGACTCAATCCGATATCGATTGGTCCGTGAAATTGGACAATTCAGGTTCGTACGATTTTCGTTCTGAAATGGAGTGGTTGGTGTATTGCATAGTTTTATCCATTGGATTTCACTCAAAACACACCAAATGACTCCTCCCACCATATTATGATGTTCCCCAAGTTTTGGACTCAATCCGATATCGATTGGTCAAAATATTGGACAATTTCAGGTTCGTACGAAGTTCGTTCTGAAATGGAGTGGTTGGTGTATTGCATAGTTTTATCCATTGGATTTCACTCAAAACACACCAAATGACTCCTCCCACCACATTATGATGTTCCCCAAGTTTTGGACTCAATCCGATATCGATTGGTCCGTGAAATTGGACGATTCAGGTTCGTACGAAGTTCGTTCTGAAATGGAGTGGTTGGTGTATTGCATAGTTTTATCCATTGGATTTCACTCAAAACACACCAAATGACTCCTCCCACCGTATTATGATGTTCCCCAAGTTTTGGACTCAATCCGATATCGATTGGTCCATGAAATTGGACAATTCAGGTTCGTACGAAGTTCGTTCTGAAATGGAGTGGTTGGTGTATTGCATAGTTTTAGCATTGGATTTCACTCAAAACACACCAAATGACTCCTCCCACCATATTATGATGTTCCCCAAGTTTTGGACTCAATCCGATATCGATTGGTCCATGAAATTGGACAATTCAGGTTCGTACGAAGTTCGTTCTGAAATGGAGTGGTTGGTGTATTGCATAGTTTTATCAATTGGATTTCACTCAAAACACACCAAATGACTCCTCCCACCATATTATGATGTTCCCCAAGTTTTGGACTCAATCCGATATCGATTGGTCCGTGAAATTGGACAATTCAGGTTCGTACGAAGTTCGTTCTAAAAGGAGTGGTTGGTGTATTGCATAGTTTTAGCCATTGGATTTCACTCAAAACTCACCAAATGACTCCTCCCACCACATTATGATGTTCCCCAAGTTTTGGACTCAATCCGATATCGATTGGTCCATGAAATTGGACAATTCAGTTCGTACGAAGTTCGTTCTGAAATGGTGTGGTTGGTGTATTGCATAGTTTTAGCAATTGGATTTCACTCAAAACTCACCAAATGACTCCTCCCACCATATTATGATGTTCCCCAAGTTTTGGACTCAATCCAATATCGATTGGTCCATGAAATTGGACAATTCAGGTTCGTACGAAGTTCGTTCTAAATGGAGTGGTTGGTGTATTGCATAGTTTTAGCCATTGGATTTCACTCAAAACTCACCAAATGACTCCACCCACATATTATTCCCCAAGTTTTGGGTTTCAATCCGATATCCAAGAATTGGTCATTTCGTAGAAGTTCGAATGTCCTGTCGAAGTTCGTTCTGAAATGGAGTGGTTGGTGTATTGCAAAGTTTTAGCATTGGATTTCACTAAAAACCACCAAATGACTCCTCCACACCATATTATGATGTTCCCCAAGTTTTGGAATCAATCCGATATCGTTGGTCCATGAAATTGGACAATTTAGGTTCGTACGATGTTTGTTTTGAAATGGAGTGGTTGGTATTGCATAGTTTTAGCCATTTGGATTTCACTCAAAACTAAACAAATGACTCCTCCCACCATATTATGATGTTCCCCAAGTTTTGGACTCAATCAATATCGATTGGTCCATGAAATTGGACAATTCAGGTTCGTCGATTTTCGTTTTGAAATGGAGTGGTTGGTGTATTGCATAGTTTTAGATATTGGATTTCACTCAAAACCCACCAAATAACTCCTCCCACCATATTATGTTGTTCCCCAAGTTTTGGACTCAATCCGATATCGATTGGTCCATGAAATTGGACAATTAAGGTTCGTACGATTTTGTTTTGAAATGGAGTGGTGTATTGCATAGTTTTAGCCATTGGATTTCACTCAAAACACCCCAAATGACTCCTCCCACCATATTATGATGTTCCACAAGTTTTTGACTCAATCTGATATCGATTGGTCCATGAAATTGGGAATTCAAGTTCGTACGATGTTTCTTTCCGTAATGGTGTGGTTGGTGTATTGCATAGTTTTAGCAATTGGATTTCTCCAAAAACACCCAAATGGCTCCTCCCACCATATTATGTTGTTCCCCAAGTTTTGGGCTCAATCCGATATCGATTGGTCTACGAAATTGGACAATTCAGGTTCGTACAATTTCGTTCTTTAATGGAGTGGTTTGTGTATTGCATAGTTTTAGCAATTGGATTTCACTCAAAACCCACCAAATGACTCCTCCCATATTATGATGTTCCCCAAGTTTTGGACTCAATCCGATATCGATTGGTCCATGAAATTGGACAATTCAGGTTCGTACGAAGTTCGTTCTGAAATGGAGTGGTTGGTGTATTGCATAGTTTTAGCCATTGGATTTCACTCAAAACACACCAAATGACTCCTCCCACCAAATTATGATGTTCCCCAAGTTTTGGACTCAATCCCATATCGATTGGTCCATGAAATTGGGCAATTCAGGTTCGTACGATTTCGTTCCGTAATGGAGTGGTTGGTGTATTGAATAGTTTTAGCCATTGGATTTCACTAAAAACACACCAAATAAATCCTTCCACCATATTATGTTGTTCCCCAAGTTTTGAACTAAATCCGATATCGATTGGTCCTTGAAATTGGACAATTCAGGTTCGTACGACTTTTGTTCTGTGTAGCCTGACGAATGGGCCTGAGCAAAATCCCCCAAATGCCTGCGTTCGAAAAACAAGCTCCCAAGAGAGTTTTTAGAAAATCTAATGAGATTTTGAAAGAACACTCTCAGAATCAGTTCATTAACACCCAAATAAGCATGAGGATTTCATTAATGGCTTAGCCTGAGGAGCATGTGGCATGGGAGCTAAGCTTTCACAAGTTTAGCAATTTGAGAGAGAGAAAACAGCGTGGGTTTCTTACAGAAGAAATATTAGTGCGAGCCTTATCCTAAAAGAAGAAGAAAGATGAACAGAAGAGAGGTTTTGGGTGGCTTGAGTAAATTCCAGATTGCTTGACAAAGCTTGGTTAAGCTCTGGATCGTTGAATTGTGGATGTGTTTTCTGGGTAGCAAAATTCTCCTTTTATAGGCGTTAGGGGCTCTAATTTCGTCTGGTTTTCTTCTTCCTTTTTCCTTGGCAGCTCCTACTTAGCCCTATTTTGATGAATTTCCCATCCACAACCGCTGGTTAGTTATGTTCAGGAAACCGCTCGCAACCATCGGAGAAAAGCCACGATTCTTCTTTAAAATCCCTCAAATTTCTTCAATTCGCTCTTCAATCCGTCCAAAACCAAGCTTAGCAGAGTCACTTGGCAAAGTGTGGAGCAATTTCTGCGGTGGAATCGCAAGGCATTTCCCTCCTCTTTCGACTTCGGCAAGCTGCTGGAAGAATTCCATCGATAGCAGTGGTAAGCATCGTTCCCCTATTTTTTGTTTTCTACTTCTCGTTACTCTGGGCACATGCATCTATACACATACACACATACATACGCATATATGTGCATGTGGAGGCACCCTTTATAATTTTTGAGAATTCCTCATGAACAGGGCACCTTTCTCAGTCTGGGTTTCATCTAATTTCCCAAGCCCTAATCTCGAATTTTGGGCATAGACCACTGATTTGGGATTTTAAGCGTGCTCAAGGCGATATCTTGCCTTGATTAACCACAAAACCTCTAGATGGTGCTGAAGCATGGTGGAAGGAACATGAACAGCCACTCCATGGCTTCCTTCGCATATTCTACCCCTGCGGTTCATTTTTCTCTTTTTTTTTGTTTTTTAGCACCAGATAATCTTTTACCCTCTTATAGGAAAGATTCGCATGATGATATCGAATTAGTCTTCTTTTTCTTCCTTGATATGGTCCTGGCATGATATTATAGAGATGTGCGTGCGTTCAACAATTCGTGAGGGTGCTGGAACTTATGCATTTTGTTCTTTCTTCCTTTCTTGCAGGTGTCCGTGACTTAGTAGACCTGCCATGGCGTCCATTAACCTTCCGCCGATCATGCTAGACCACCTCTACTCCATGGATGACGACCTTAAAGCAGAAGGGCCGCTCCTGTTGCTTGAAGATGTCCGTAAAAATCCCGTTGTTGGTGATGAGCCATCCCTTGAGACTGCTCCTGTAATTAATCCTGCCTCCATATCCAAATGCTGCATTGAAAAGGGCCTCTTTCCAGCCGTTCCCCTATTCTTCCAGTATCCTTGCAGTATCAGTAAAGGTTGGTCAGAATGGGTTCGATTGTGAACTGCGGGATCCATCCACATGCAACATCCTGCGCAGAGCACAAGTCCTTGATGCCATCTTCCTTTCCAAATTGTGGGACATCCATATCGAAGCGAAGATGCTTCGTCACGTGGTCCGGAGGTGGAGCACCGCTACTCACACCTTTGTGTGCTCATGGGGGGAATTTACCCCTACCCTTGAAGATGTGGCGAATATCTCTCGCCTTCCTGTCTGTGGCGACCGTAGTCCTTTCGGCATCGCCCTCACTCCAGAAGAAATAGATAGCCTTGCAGTCTTGCGAAGAGGCGCTCCCACCTCTCCCAGCACTTCACTCCGGTTTAGCAACTGGATACAATATTTTGGGGATGCAAACAGACAAAGTCCCTGCCGTTTGGCTGCCTTTATAGCTCTGTGGCTTGGGCGGTTCGTGCTCTGTGACTTTTCTCAAGATTGCCTTCATGAGCGTATATTTCCTTTGGCTTTGGCCATAGCCCGAGGCGATACGATCCCCTTAGCCCCCATGTTCCTGGGACATCTATACCATCTTCTTAATCGAACCCAGCTTCTGGAAAAGAGTGCATCAGGAACCATGGGCGTAGAGACCCTCCTAAATTCTGGTTTCTTGCAGGTGTTCTTGTGGGAGCGTCTCAAAGGGTTGGATGTGTATTCACTCCCTCATTCGCACGCTATAAAGTTGGCTGACTGGGGCAAGGGTTCCTTTATGCCAAACAATCTTCCATTAGTTTGCAGGTGGTTCAAGAGAATGCAGAGGAAAGGCCAGAATTTCTTAAAGCTGCTAGACAATGTCGAGAATTTTGTCTTTCGCCCTTACGGCACCTCAGCAGAGACCTTCACTTTCGTGCCCTTCTATACTGACGTCAGTGATACGGTTGAGGTTCCAGCAGCCGTGTCGCAGAGTGACCAGTTTCGGAAGCATGCTTTGTTGAATGTCGCTCCCATCCCCTTACCTACTCTTGGAGACTACTGTGCAGAGGTTTCCGTGACCTACTATCCACACCGGGTCAGGAGGCAGTTCGGGCTTGACCAAGGGGTACCCAGCAGTCCTAACCATGATGACCCTTTTGCTTTACACAGGATCTTCTGGAGCAATGACCACATACCAGCCAGTTGCAGGCCCATCGTTCTAGCAAGCAAGGCGAGGTTTGGTGGCTTTTCTAGAGGCTACCAAGCCTACTGGAACCGCTATCTCTCTTCCTTTCGTGAGTTCCAATCCTTTCCCGGGGACAGACTGCCTCCTACAACGGCTCGTCTTGCAGGCTTGGTTTCGGAAGAGAAAGCCATCCCTCTTAGCCAAAAACGCAACTTGCCCTTCATTTCCAAGAGTGGTGACATCGTTGGAGAATTTCCTAAGATGAAGCCAAAGCCGGGGGTACAGAGTCCTGGCGGCTTCGGAAAAAGTGCAACGCTAGTGTCAGGCAAAAGGAAGCAAGAGGAGGAGCGAAATGTGAGTGAGAAGCAGACTGCCGGTAAACCCAAAAGGTTCATTCCGAAGGTAGCCCCGAGTGGCCCTCCTCGAACCAAAGAAGCAACTCCCCCGGAACAGCCACAGTCTTCGAAGCCTGCTGCATCCGGGAGCCGGGGTCGTGCTGGCAAGGTGCTGGAAACTACCCCTCTCCGCCGTAAGTGTTCTCCACTTCCAGTACTTCTTCATGCCCCTCTTTTTGCTTTGCGTGCATGATATGCGAGTATATACTTATTTATTATATACATATTTTTTTTATAGGGAAAATGGGTACAACCCCGAAGAGAAAGAGAAGTGACACGCCCCCGGTATCTCCTCAGGTGACCCCTAAACGTCGAAGCGTGCGCATTCTACATGCAAGATTTTCTGGAACACACACCAGTACTGTTGAAGCTGCCGGAACCCCAACTGTAGTGACAGTTGACGATGATAGTGATGATAGTGACACCACCGAATCCGAGCTAATGTTCCAGAGCAAGAGAACGTTGACGATGCCAGTGAAGATTCTGACAAGGACTCCAATGAGGGTTGCAGTGAGGATGCATTTGCTTATTCCAGCGACTATCCAGGAGGACAAGGTGGTTCAGATGTTTTCTTCGAGTCCGCCGGTAGCAGTACACGCCGTTTTAGCACTGAGCAGGTAACTGACGCGCCTTAAGTTTTGTCCCCCTCTCCTTCCTTACACCATAACCTGTACACTCGACGCGTGCTCCTCCTGCAGGTTATTGACATTACTGAGGACCCAAACCCTGCTGCAACCATTGTTGATCCTGCCCGGACCCCCGTTGAGGTATCCGTACCGATAATATTCTATTTACCTTCTTCTCCTACTCATCTGCCAATACCCATTACCTGTCAATTATCACGTACTAATTCTTGCATGCACCCCTTTCTCTTTTGCAGGCTGAGCATCTCGCTTCAAATTTAGAAATTGTGCCCGTAGTACCTTCTTCCTTCAACACATTCGATACACTGGTCGAGGCAGCCCTCGCAAGATCCTCTCCAACCATGACACCAACGGATTCTCGGGATGAAATGCCTACGCTCCAAGTTACAAGCCCTTTACCATCTATCTTCCAGCATTTTCTCCAGAGGGACCTTGATCCTACCATTTCGCCAGCCTTTCCAGCAGCCTTTCGGAGCAACACCCTTGTCGTCCATACAACCCTGCCCGTTCCATCTCACGTTCAACCACTTCTCTAGGCGACAGGGCCTAGTCCCCTAGCACTTCTTCCAGCGGTTCAATGTGACAATGCGAGCACTGCTGAAAACGCCCAGGCTATCATTACCGTCGCCAGGAATGCTGCTGCAGAACACCCCCGCAGCATGTCTTGGCTGGAGTGGGAGGAATCATTTACTGCCTTCATGGCTTTCTTTGACAGCGGTGCTCAAGTCCTTCGATCTGCAGATGAACTCCTGCCGCTCTACCATCGGTTTAATGGTTACGCACTCTTTCGGGGAATTCTTGTTTATCCCGAGACAGTCGCGGTTTTGAAGAAATTTCTGGACAAGTACGGGGATTTCATGGACATGACTGGTATTACTTCTTCATTCTCGCGATGTGCTGCTTTCCGGGCCCTCGGCTTGGTGCTCCATGGGATGGATACCGTGCAGCTGCTGGACATTACTGATCACAGGCTCCTCTGCTGGCGGGATGCAGTTTGCGAGGCTATGACTCTGGGCTTTCGAGCAGAGTCTCTTCTGAACCTGGTGAAGGGTTTGGCACGTGCTGCATTTGGGGCACGGGCTGTTCATAACATGAAGTCAAATCCCAGCCCTGATGAAATAAGGGCAGCAGCAGAGGCTTTGGTCTTCAAACAGCACGCACTGGAAAACCAGCGCAGGGAATTGCGTGGCCTCCTTTCTGCCCAAGGTGTCTCTTCCGACAGTGCTGACTGCGTGATGGAGGCAGTGACAAGATCTTCTCACGGGGCCTCCTCCGTTCCCTTCTAGCCATCCTTGGTGGTGCTTTGAGGTTCGTGACTTTCCGTCCTTCCCTCATATTTCCTCATTCTACATACGTTCAATGTTACTCTGATTTCTCCTGACATTCTTTTTTTTGTTCTGTTTTGCAGGTCGCATTTTGCTTGGTGTAGGATTGACTAGCTTGACACATTCTAGAGTTTTGTTCAGGATTGAAGCACACATTACTTCTTAGCATGTATAGCTTGATTTTGACTTATGTTGTAAAACTTGTACTGTGGCAGCTTGGCATTTTAGTGCTGTTGTGTTCCAGCTGCCGGAACCTATGTTCCCCCTTTTTTTTTCTTTTGCCAGAAACACATTGTAGCTCTTATTCGACATGTATAAAATGCCTGGTTGGTAGAATCCTTTGCTTGAATTTTAGATCGGGTATCCTTTTGAAGTATGGTGGTTGTTGCCAAAATTTTGTTAGGATGGCCCTTTGATACTCTGCCTATTTTCTTTTAAGGTTCTCGGACCTTATGAGCATGCTAGCTTCCTTTTGCGGGTGCTTAGCTTGGCTTGTTCCTTTTCATTTTGCCAAAGCGTGAAAGCTGCTACATACCTAGGATCCCATTCAAATGACTTTGCTTGGCATGGTTTTTGCTAAGTAATATTTTCCTCCACCTTCTTTTTTAAATAAAAAAAAAAAAACAACACCGTATATATTATATGTAATTGTAAACGCATGTCCAAAAAGAAATTCAAGATACGAAAAAGGGCAAACTTCCAGAGACAATTTTTTTTTCAAAATACTCCTTCATTTTCATTTCAAACCCCATGCTACCATGATGATACAAAAGCTTTTCAAAACAAAGAGCGCATAGAAGGAGACTAGATTTTTTAGATAAAAGGAAATGCAATAACATGAAAATAAGATATTATGCCTACTTAGCAGTAGTAGGGCTTGAGCCATTTTCCATTGATGGGATCCGTTAGCATGCCTTCCTTGACAGAGATCAAGCGATAATAACCGTTGCTGTGTGTCTCCTTGACTGCGAATGGACCCTCCCATTGTGGGGGCAAATTTGGAAGGTCCTGATATTTGCCTTCTCACATGTTCAACGACTTTTAGCACGAGATCTCCTTGCTTGAAGGCTTGAGGCTTAACGGTCCTATTATAGGCTTGGGCAACAGTCTTGTTGTAAAGTGCCATCCTTCTTTCAGCTTCCATCCTTTTCTCATCAACTGCTTCGAGATCTAGCAAACGCCAATCTGAGCATGTCTTTGCATCCCATTCAAGATCATTGACAGCTGCTATCCTGGCTGTCGGGATGGTGATTTCCACGGGTGAAATAGCCTCAGATCCGTACACAAGTGAGTAAGGTGAAAAACCTGTAGCGCTCCTTGGTGAGGTGCGATAAGCCCACAAAGCATTCGGCAAGTGAACACTCCAGCCTCCTTCATACTCATATACCATCTTGCTTAGAATCCTCAATATCGTCTTATTGGTAGCTTCTGCTTGACCGTTTCCCTGCGGGTAATAAGGCGTAGAGCGACGATGCTTGATACCGTACCCACTAAGGGTTGAACTCACTTGCTTGTGAACAAAAGGTGTGCCATTGTCGGTGACCATCTTGTATGGGATTCCGAACCTACACACAATGTATTCCCGAATGAAATTCGAGACAGCAGCTCCTGTGGCCTTTCGAAGGGGAATTGCCTCAACCCATTTCGTGAAATACTCCGTAGCGGTGAGGATCCATATGTAGCCATCGGAAGGGGGATGGATTGTCCCAATTAAATCAAGCCCCCAAGTATGGAAAGGCCAGGGAGTGCGCATGTCTTGCAGCAATGTAGGAGGTTTATGGCTTAGATTAGCATGGATTTGGCATGTGTGGTATTTCTTAACAAGGTCATGTGCATCATTCTTCATGGTAGGCCAATAATACCCAATGCTTAGTAGCTGCCGGTGAAGCTTCTTCATTCCTTGGTGCTCTCCGCACTCTCCAGCATGTATCTCTTGCATGGCTTGATGTGCCTCTGATTCTCCCAAGCATTTTAATGGCTCACCATTAAACCCCTTTCGATAGAGAGTTGACCCATCAACAAAATACCTCTTTATGGTCTTTTTGAGCTTATAGGCAAGCTTGGGGTTGGTCGGCAGAGTTCCTCCAACAAGGAATGCCAAGTATGGAGCCCGCCAATCTTCTGCAAATGAAACAGTGAATGACTCCTCTGTAGAGGGTATCGTAGAACAGGTGGGGCAATCGGATTGTAGTTCAGCTGCTTGCTTCTTCATCTCTGGCCAATAATAACCTTTGTGTTGCAAGCGACGGTACAGGCTGATTACTGGTTCCAAGCCGCAAGTGGCATCGTGTACCTCTCGCAACCTCCTTCTAGCTTCTGCCATCCCAACACACCGGGTTAGAACACCTCCCGGAAGACGTCTGTAGAGTTCCCCAAAGATAGTCACATAGTCTTTCAAGTCTTTAATGCTGCTCTCTTCACCTAATTTTTTCTTCAGTGGCTTTCTCCAATCATCCTCTTCCAGCAGGTCCCCTTGGGCCATTGTTTCGACCACTGGTGTGCTTCTCCTTATCACGGTGATGTTGGGCTGTTCTTGCACAAATGAGAGTTTTGATCCCAATGTGGCCAAAGCATCAGTGTACCTATTGGTGGCTCCTGGAATGTGCTCCATCACGATTTGCTTGAAGGAATTAATGAGCCTTTCAGCAGCTGTCTGATATGGTGCCAAGGTTGCTTCCTTCACCGCAAAGCTTCCTTGCAATTGACTTAGTACTAGGTTCGAATCGCCGATGATCTTCACCTTTTCTGCGCCCATTTCTCTTGCTGTGCACAATCCCATAATAAAAGCTTCGTATTCTGCCACGTTATTCGTGCATGGAAAGTCTAGCTTGAATGAGAGAGCCGTAGCTTGCCCATTGGGATTAATGAGCACGACACTTGCCCCTTCACCTTTTGATGTGGAAGACCCATCAAAGTAGAGGGTCGATGGTTCCTCCTCTGTAACAGTAGCAACCATTTCCGGCAGCTCTCCCAGGACTTCCTTGGAAAGGGTTGATCCTTCTACTTCGGGGAATAGAGCTAACATGTCAATCACAGCTTGTCCCTTAATGGCCTTAGGAGTTGTGCATATGATATCAAATTCGGAAAGCTGCAATAACCATCGTGCGAGACGACCAGACAATACCGGCCTTGTGAGCAAATATCTTACGGGATCGGACTTTACTATGAGTTGTAACTTGTGAGCAATGAAGTAGTGTCGCAAGCGCTGCGCAGCATAGACAAGAGCAAGGCATAAGAGTTCCGTTTTTGGGTACCTTGCCTCAGCTCCTCTCAATTGTCGGCTTACATAATAAACGGGGCTTTCCTCCCCGTTATGGCCATCCTGCGCAAGCAAAGCTCCAACCGCAGCATTTGTCGCAGCCAAGTAAAGCTTGAGCGGAAGTCCTGGAATAGGTGCCCTCATCGTGGGCAGCTTGGTGATCAGTTGTTGTACCTGTTGGTAAGCTTCTTGGCATCCCTGGCTCCATATATATGGCTTCCCTTTTTTGAGGAGAGGAGTGAAAACACTCATCATTGCAGCAAGGCCTGGAATAAAACGCCGAATGTATGACAATTTTCCCATAAAACTTTTCAACTCCTTTGGATTCTTAGGTGGTGCAAGAGAGCATATGGCTTTGGTTTTCTCAGAATCCACATCTATACCACGCTGGTGTACCTGAAAGCCCAGGAACTTGCCAGATGAGACTCCGAATGCGCATTTCTTTGGGTTCATTTTTAACCCATACAGCCGGCACCTTTCCAGCACCCGCCTCAGAACTCCCTGATGACTTTCTCTGGTTTTGGATTTTACTACGAGGTCATCCACATAGTCTTCCACCTTTTTCCCCATCATATCATGAAACACTGCCGTCATGGCCCGTTGGTAGGTAGCACCGGCATTCTTGAGACCAAATGGCATGACCGTGTAGTAGAAATTTCCATAAGGTGTTCGAAAGGCTGTTTTCTCGGCATCCTTGGGAGACATCTTGATTTGATTATAGCCACTAAATCCGTCCATGAAGGATAGCATGCCTTGACCCGAGGTTGAATCAATCAAGATATCCATGTTGGGCAGCGGGAATTCATCTTTTGGGCAGGCTCGATTGAGATCACGATAGTCTGTGCATATTCTGATTACCCTAGTTTTCTTCTTCACGGGTACGATATTTGCTAGCCATGTCGGGTGTTTGATTGGCTTGATGAATCCAGCGGCAAGCAGCTTTTCAACTTCCACCTTGATTTGTTTCTCAATTTCAGGATGAAAATTCCTTCGTGGTTGTACAACAGGTCTTGCACCGAGCTCAATATTCAGCGTATGACTCACCAAGTTTGGATTAAGGCCGGGCATCTCTTCATAACTCCAAGCAAACACATCTCGAAATTCCTTCAATAACGACACCAAAGCTTCCCTTTCTTCCCCCGTTAAATGAACACTGACAAAGATGGGTCTTGGGGCAGAGGGGTCATCACCTAAATTAACTGTTTCCAACCGCTCAGCTACTGCCGTTGAGCCATCTTGCATGTGCTTGGGTGCTATCATTGGTTCTTGGAAAGGACAAGGCAAGGGTGCCTTGCCATCTAGACTCCCGCGCTGTCTGCTTGCATAGCTTCTCCACCATACTCGGGGCTTTCCCGTAGGATATGGTCAAGCCCCCAATCCCGTCATAAGCGATATACAGTGAGCCCATCTGGCAGCGTAACCTTTGAGCATTGAGGATGATCGTAGGCATGGTTGTTGGCCTCCGAGTGCCTTTTTCTTTCTCGATCGACGATGGTTATGAGCTCCTCGTTGCTCAGATCACGAATCTCGGTCCACGATGGCAGGTAAGTCCCGGAATTCTTGGATGGGTTGCTTCCGGCGCCTGTGCACTCAGTGTAGAATTCTGCCTCGGAGTAGTGAGCTTCGCTTTGATTGAACGGTGCTTGATTCCCTGGTACACGGAATGGTCTTAGCCCAATTCTTCCCTTTACACATTGATGGTACGTAGAGACCACAAGTTTATGCTTGTTGAGCCATGGCCTTCCCAACAAAGCATGATAAGCCACATCTATGTCCACCACATAGAACTTGGTAAGTGACCGGATGGGCCCTACCTTCAAATTTACTTGCATATATCCAACCATAACCTCACTTTGATTCCCAAAACCGCTAATGCTCGTTTGGGACAGCACGATCTTGGATAGTGGAATACCAGCTGCTGTAAGTACAGACAGAGGCAAGATGTTAACAGAAGAACCCGTGTCTACCAGAGCCCTCCGTATGAACACATCATTGATTTGCCCCTCCAGGTAAAGCGGCCTTCTATGATCCGGGTATGGAACTTCCATGTCCTCATCTGTGAAAACGATAGCATTGTCATTTTCCAAGAATGACCTTTGAGGTTGAGCAGTGAAGCAATGGGGGTTGGCTCCTGCAGAAATATTCATAAGGGCTACAGCAGCTGCTTCCCTCGCTTGAGGCCCGAAACCAAGTTGGTCAAAGAGTGATTTAACTCTAGGATTCCTCTGGAGGGCCTGTGAAGCTGTGGGTCCTTGCTTCGAGCCCCGATATCGTTCCATTACAGTCGCCTCAGCTTCTGTAAGGGTGTGAAATGTCACAGCAGACGTTTCCTGCTGTCCGGACGAGGCTTTCCGGCATTGTTCTTCCGGCATGTCCAACATGAACACCCCATTGTCTGCACAGTCATCCCATCCATCAGCGAGTGGCCATGGCGTGTCGTAGCTTGACGGTTTCGAGTATTTGCACAAGTAAGCTTTATCCATGTTTCCACAAGGCTCCCAAATAGCCTCTGGTGGCTTTGGATCATTCCTCCATGGGTGGCACAATTCGTCATCGTCGAGCAAATCATCTGAACACGTAATAACAGCAGCTGTTTCTTTCCCCCTCCGTTTTGGCAAAGGGTCCTCATTAATAGCCTGCTTCCTAGAGGGAAGCTCAAGAACTCCCTCATGTATTTTGCCATGTAAGATCCTCCTTAAACTCTGACAAGCGATGGTTGGATGTCCTACAAACTGGTGGTAGCGACAGTATCTGGGATCACTTTTTTCTTCCCTGGTGGGGACCTTGTAGGGCTTGAGAGGTTTGATTGCGCCATCAGCAATCATTGTGTCGAGGATGGCATGAAATTCTTCATCTTTGCAAGGCAATGGCGGGTACGTCTCCCTATCTTTTTGTTTGCGTGAGCTGTAGTCATTAGATGGCTTCTCATCCGTGGCTAACACCTGATGTGATTCCTTCTTCTCACTCCTCCAGCCCCGTTGTCCAGTCGGTTTGACGGACATGCTTGTCTTTCTTACCGCTTCTAGCAGCCGGGAAAATTGGTTTATGCCAATATTCTCCAAGTATACTCTATAGTCTGCCACAATGTTGCTGATGCAAATCTCAACAAGTGCCTCCTCATCTTTTTCGTCATAGCAATCGAGAGCCAAGTCCCAGAATCTTCTCACGAAGTCCACAGGATCCTCCCCTTGCTTTTGGCGAGTGTTGTTGAGCTGCGTGGTGGTGACCCTCTCCTCGTGCTGAAAATATTTTTTACAAAACCTGCTTGCCAAATCGTCCCAAGAACGCATAGAGCCTGGTGCCAATGTGGTGTACCATGTATAAGCCCGATCGGTGAGGCTTTTTGAGAATTCTCGGAGTCGCAGATTATAATCACCAGCGTGTGGCCCCAAAGCATCAAGGAATCGGTTGACATGTTCCTTCGGGCTTCCTTTCCTCCCATCGAAGAGAACAAAGGTTGGTGTTTCGTAACCTTTGGGATAGGGCTGCTGGAGTAAACTTGCTGGGTACGGTGGCTGAGGAATGTATTTCCAATCCTCCTGACTTCGACTAAGCTCCCTTTCCAGCATGGCAACGACATCCTCCTGGGTGACAAAAGACGGTCCCCTTTGTTCAGACCCCTTTCCAGCAGCGGCAGATTCTTCTTGCGGACGTCTATCCTCTTCGCTTGGCTTGGAAGCAGCATTTTTTAATTCTTTGATAGTGTCCATCATCTCCTTCTGGGTTTCCCCCATGGCCTGCATAGCCGTGATGAGATCAGTGAGGGTGAAGGCTTCCTCACTTGCACGTTCTTGTCCTCTAGAGGAAGCATTTTGCCTTGATTCAGAATCACCATGGTCGGGTCCATCTTGGGAGGCCATGGTGTTGCTTCGGGTTTTCTTTCTTGGAGGCATTAGTAAGATGGCAGCTTGTTCCCCAGCAGAGTCGCCAATTTATGTAGGGGGTTTTTGTTACGAATGGGCCTGAGCAAAATCCCCCAAATGCCTGAGTTCGAAAAACAAGCTCCCAAGAGAGTTTTTAGAAAATCTAATGAGATTTTAAAAGAACACTCTCAGGATCACTTCACTAACACCCAAATAAGCATGAGGATTTCATTAATGGCTTAGCCTGAGGAGCATGTGGCATGGGAGCTAAGCTTTCACAAGTTTAGCAATTTGAGAGAGAGAAAACAGCGTGGGTTTCTTACAGAAGAAATATTAGTGCGAGCCCTATCCTAAAAGAAGAAGAAAGATGAACAGAAGAGAGGTTTGGGTGGCTTGAGTAAATTCCAGATTGCTTGACAAAGCTTGGTCAAGCTCTGGATCGTTGAATTGTGGATGTGTTTTCTGGGTAGCAAAAGTCTCCTTTTATAGGCGTTAGGGGCTCTAATTTCGTCTGGTTTTCTTCTTCCTTTTTCCTTGGCAGCTCCTACTTAGCCCTATTTTGATGAATTTCTCCATCCAAGGAGCATGGGTAAGGAACCCTTTATGGTTCCAACGGTTTGACGCAGCTGGGCTTTCCCGTAGAGGGGAAGGCGCCACCTGCTTTCCTTATGTTTTCTCCAAGGCAGAGCTTACAGAGGAAAAGGGGAGAGATGGAGCCTTTTGTCTGATGGACACTTCCCTCACCCCCATGGATTTCCTCTGGTCTTGCCATGGCTCCCTTATGACCATTGTTTGGAATTTAAACGGGCATAGGACTTGACGCCAGATTTTTGTAAGTTGCTGGGCTTGGGCTTGTACATATGGTATTGGGTCCTCTGGCTTTGTTGCTTCTATCGTTTGGCAGGCTTTCGTCAAGCTGCTGGAAAGGCTTTCCCTTTAATTCTATTGATGTGGGCTGGGCTAAATATCTTGGTAGGTTCTTTGGTGTCTTCCTAGAGCATGGGTCAATTTTTTTCTCCTCTCTCTCATGCTAACCCATATGCTTTGGGTTCTAGGAACGGGCTTGAGTTCCAAAGCCCCCAAGTGGCTTTGAAACCTACGTTCCTTGAACCCTCAATGGGCCCCGTGATTGCTTGTTTCCTTCCATACCACAACATTCTCAGTAAGCCCCGGTTAATTTTGTGGCTTGGGCCCACTTGAGCTCGTGACGTAGCTTGGTATTTAGAATGTGCATGATTTCTATGCTCGTGCTTGGGGTTTTATTATGCCATGATAGGCTATAGTCGGGCCAAGTAGCACCGAATGAGCATGTGAGCGTGATTTAGTGATATCGGTATGTCCTTGGCTCCTTCTGCACGTGCTTGTTTAGCATGATTTGTGGCTTGTAGCTTGTGTTGGCGGCTCTTATAAATTTTCTTTTATCCCGATTGAGCTTATTTTGCATCCAATTACCCATATTGGGCTAAGGATTGCTTTGGGCTTAGCCCCTTGGATTTTTTGGGCCTCAACATTCTGTAATGGAGTGGTTGGCGTATTGCATAGTTTTAGCAAATGGATTTCACCAAATGACTCTTACCACCGTATTATGATGTTTCCCAAGTTTTGGACTCAATCCGATATCGATTGATCCATGAAATCGGACAATTCAGGTTCGTACGATTTTCGTTCTATAATGGAGTAGTTGAAGTATTGCATAGTTTTAGCAATTGGATTTCACTCAAAACTCCCCAAATGACTCCACCCACCAAATTATGATATTCCACAAGTTTTGGACTCAATCCGATATTGATTGGTCTATGAAATAGGACAATTCTGGTTCGTACGAAGTTTGTTCTAAAATGGAGTGGTTAGTGTAGGGCATAGTTTTAGCGAATGGTTTTCACTCAAAACTCACCAAATGACTAGTACCACCATATTATGATGTTGCCCAAGTTCTGGGCTCAATCCCATATCGATTGGTCCATGAAATTGGACAATTCAGGTTCGTACGATCTTGGTTCTATAATGGTGTAATTGGCGTATTGTGTAGTTTGAGCGATTGAATTTCACCCAAAACTCACCAAATGACTCCTCCCACCATATTATTATGTTCCCAATGTTTTGGACTCAATCCAATATCGATTAGTCCATGAAATTGGACAATTCACGTTCGTAGGAAGTTCGTTCTGTAATGGAGGGTTGGTGTACTGCACAGTTTTAGCAATTGGATTTCACTCAAAACTCACCAAATTACTCCTCCCACCATATTATGATGTTCCCCAAGTTTTGGGCTGAATCCGACATCGATTGGTCCAAGAAGTTGGACAATTCAGGTTCGTACGTAGTTCGTTATATAATAGACTGGTTAGCGTATTGCAAAGTTTTAGCGATTGGATTTCCGTCAAAACTCACCAAATGACTCCTCCCACAATATTATGATGCTACCTAAGTTTTGGACTCAATATAATAACTATTGGTGCATGAAATTAGACAATTCAGGTTTGTATAAAGTTCGTTCTATAATGGAGTAGTTGGTATATTGCACAGTTTTTTCAATTGGATTTCACTCAAAACTCACCAAATTACTCCTCCCACCATATTATTATGTTCCCCAAGTTTTGGGCTCAATCCGATATCGATTGGTTCAAGAAATTGGACAATTCAGGTTGGTACAAAGTTCGTTATGCAATGGAGGGGTTGTTGTATTGCATTGTTCTAGAGATTGGATTTCACTCAAAACCCACCAAATGACTCCTCCCAATCCGATATCGATTGGTCCAAGAAATTGGACAATTTAGGTTCGTACGAAGTTCGTTATGTGAATGGAGTGGTTGGTTTATTGCATAGTTTTAGAGATTGGATTTCACTCAAAACTCACCAAATCACTCCTCCCACCATATTCTGATGTTCCCCAAGTTTTGGGCTGAATCCGATATCGATTGGTCCCAGAAATTGCACAGTTCAGGTTCGTACGAAGTTCGTACTGTGAATGGAGTGGTTAGTTTATTGCGTAGTTTTAGAGATTGGATTTCACTCAAAACTCACCAAATCACTCCTCCCGCTGTATTATTATGTTCCCCAAGTTTTGGGCTCAATCCGAGATCAATTTATTCAAGAAATTGCACCATTCAGGTTCGTACGAAGTTCGTTCTGAAATGGTGTGGTTGGAGTGTTGCATGGTTTTAGCGATTGGATTTCACTCAAAACTCACCGAATGACTCCTCTAATCATATTACGATGTTGCCCAAGTTTTGGGCTCAATCCGATATCGATTGGTCCATGAAATTAGACAATTCAGGTTGATACAAAATTTGTTTTGAAAAAGAGTGGTTGGTGTTTGCATAGTTTAGAGATTGGATTTCATTCAAAACTCACGAAATGACTCCTCCCACCGTATTACGATGTTGCCCAAGTTGGGGCCTCAATCCGATATCGATTGGTCCAAGGGATTGGACAATTCAGGTTCGTACGAAGTCCGTTATGTAATAGAGTGGTTGGTGTATTGCATAGTTTTAGTAATTGGATTTCACTCAAAACTCTACAAATGACTCCTTCTACCGTATTATGATGTTACCCAAGTTTGGGGCTTAATCCAATATCGATTGGTCCAATAAATTAAACAATTCGGGTTCGTACAATTTTCGTTCTATAATGGAGTGGTTGGCGTATTGCATAAATTTAGAGATTGGATTTGACCCGAAACTTACGAAACGACTCCTTCCACCGTATTACCACTACAACAAAGATGACCTTTAATTACACACTTTTAATGACGTGCCTAAAATATACGTCATTAAATTATGTCAATCATGACACATTCTATATGTGCGTCATTGAATATAGTTTATGACACACTTACTATGACATTCGGATTAACATGTCATTAGTTGTGTTTTTAATGACGCGGGTCAGGTGTCATAGATTCTATTACCCTTAGAAGACGCATAAGACACGCCATTAAAGGTTTTGCAGATTAAAGACGCGTTATAAACGTCATTGAATCAATGACGTCTCTTCTGCGTCATGGAAAACTTTTAATACGACACTACTTCTGCGTCATAGTTCTAAAACCTCACCCACCCCCCCCCCCCCCCCCCCCCCCCCCCCCCCCTCTCTCTCACGTCCTCTTCCTCACGTTACCTCATTTTTAATTTTTTCCAATATTTTTCCCAAACCACAAAAATATAATCAATGACGTAGGTGATGAGCCGTTAAAAGTTTTACAATGTAACGACACTTCATAAACGTCATTGAATCAACGACGCTTGGGAGACGTCATGGAAAATATTTAACACGACGCTGATTGTGTGTTGTTGATTTTCATGACGTATGTTACGCGTCATTAAATTAGATTTCCACGACGCAAATCAGATGTCATAGATATATTTGTTAACGACGTCTTATGCGTGTCATAGATCTGTAATTTCTTTCCCCCCAAATTTTTAAGCCTGGCGCTTTTTTTTTTCACCAAAATTGAACTTGGTGCTCTTCTTTTCATCTTTTTTCACCAAACGTTTCATTATTATTGTTTTTTTTAAGTCCACACCCAATTATTAAGAAATAAATCAAATCCTCTCTCCCCACCGTCTCTTCTCTTTCGCCCTATCCTTCTATCTCTTCTCTCCCTTCATTTTCCCTCTATCAGCAGGTCCAAGATTTCTCTAAACTTTTTGGTTTTGATTTGTTAAGGTTTCATCCGCTCCTTACGAGAGCAGATCACCTCAACCTCTCACAGCCTCTATCTCAGGTCGATTTCCTTCCTCCTCAATCAATTTCTGTCTGTCATACTTAGAAACCCAAAACCCAAAACCCAAACCGCTGCCTTCCATCCATATCGGTCTCAGCTTTTTGGCAAAATAAAAGGTATGTTTTGTTTGGCATTTAATTTGGTTGGTTTGCATTCTAGAGTACAAATTATAGACGTATTTTTTAAAATTTCATGTGGTTGTTTCTCTAATTCTCCGTTTGGATAGAGGAATTTCAAATTACATAGAATTTTAAAATGACGGAATTTAGATTTCCGTCATTTCAATTTCTGACAATTGAAGATT